CCTCAACTGTCAATCCACCATGATAGTTAATATGCATGGATGTCCTGCCTGCAGCCCGGCCCTGTCTTTAACTATCAATCACCAATCAATACAATCAATTAAGAAAACCTAGAACATCATCCTGTCCTAATGGTCTTGATGATAGTGTCTGTCAAACTTTTTTTTTATTTGTGACTAAAGTATTATTTCACATTGAAAACACCATAAGGTCCATGTTGCGTTTTCCTGAAATATAGAGATCAACAGTGGATGGTCACATTATGGTCATATCTGATAATGACAGGCATATGAGCGTAGAGTACACACATGCTGTGGTTCATAAAAGATCACAGACTGTGTGGTACTCAGTGAAGTATTCCTGTGGACCGGTGTTTGTTTTTTTTCTGTGTCTCACTCATAGTTTATCCAGAAGAAATCTGTTTCGTGTACATAGACATCTCTTCATCTGCCCTTCGATAATGAAAAAAATACAATTTAATAACTGGGGGAGGATGTATTAGAAAGATTAGGAACATCTAAGGAACTTATTATTCTGCAACTGTGCCATTTGCCACAGATTTAATGTCTGGCCTCAGATTAAAGATGACAGACAAAGAAAAATCCCCCTCCTCCTCTTCCCCCTCCCCCACGTGGAAACCGCATCCACCAAATGTAGGACTATTTTTTACTTTCCCTGTAGATCCTTTTAACTGGTTTGCTCCCTACAGAGCATATAGACGTAAGACGTTTTCTGATTCGTTCACTCGATAAAAACCCCGTCTACATGTGTGCAGCTTCGTTTTAGCGTCATGTAACTCTCAGCACATGCAGTAGTACATTTCCATTCACCTGTTTGTTTCCTCAGCACCTCCTGTACGGTATATACCCTCCCCGTAACCGTGAGGCCAAATGCAACTGCACATGCATCATTAGCTTTAACAGCAGAGGGCAGGTTTTCGTTACCGCCTCCTTGTTAATTAGATTTACTTCTAAGTATCTGATACTCACCTACATTACATACTTTCATGTAAAGAGCAAGGGTCTGATTACTGTAGGGGGCGATGTGGAAGACCACCTGGTCGGTCGTTAGTCATTTACAGGCAGGGTGTAACACAGGCCATCAGTCCACTGTCAGGACATCGTCAAACCAACGTTAACTACTGTTATCTTATACTGTACACTTATAACCTTATATCCATATTTGTTGACCACATGTATATGTATATATTATACATAATTTCAATGTCTTTTAGTTTAAATTATTTATATATTTTAGTATAAAATCAGTAATTGTCATGTAAAAGATGATTTATACCTTATCATTTTGTTTTAACCTGGCATGGGTTTTAACAGGGAAATGAAATGAAAAAAATAAACCATCTAAAAAAAGAAGTTATTTATCCAGAGCTTCATCATCCTCAGCATGTATTTTCCTGGATTTACCGGGATGTGAGTATTTACTGTCAGCTCTGCCACTGGCCAAGGGCACAGAGTGACCTCTTTCAGGAATTGAGTCTGAATTGTCCCTAAATAATACATAAAACATAAAAATACATTTTTTTATTTTTTTTTGCATTATTACTGCAGGCATAATCCCAACAAATACAAGCCTAGACGGAGTTTTGTGTGGAAGCTGTGAACGTGGCATACTTTCCCTGTGTTATTTTTGCAGTGAACCTCTATCAAATTTAGTTGTTTTTTTTTTGGTTTTTTTTTGCATCTACACGTTGAGAGATCAGGGATTTATTCAAAGGAATTTATTAGACCGATTAGATTGTGTTTTCTCAGAACTTCGACTGTTAGTTACCCTGGAAACATTGATTGTAATAGGTTAGGAAAAAAGATAGGAAGTGCTGACATTTCCTATCAGAGTGGACATTGATCATTTAGTGTACGGTGGCAGAAGACTAGGACCACAAGGAGATGGACTACAGGCAGAGCAGACAAATCAAAGGACTTTGGTGGACCATGTGAACATCTCTGCCGGGTTTGATCCTACAAACGACCTTTTAATTAACAGCATGTTAAGTTAGTGCAGCGGCTCGCTGCACAGGGGGACAAAAGCATCATTCATCCCGTATTCCTGCCTCGCTGCTCGGCCTGAACGGCAACAAAGTGTTTGATGCCACTTCTGATTAGATGCTGACAATAGAACGATGATCGTCCTTCTTTCTTCCAGAGCTTGTGCATTGCACTCACGCGCTCCTCTGGATCGTGACCCTCCATAAGCGCTACGCCTTTGACGCCCATCCACCCGCTACTGTTCTAATTGGAGGTTCATGAATAATCATGGCATGACAGCAGAGAAAAAAAACATAAAATTCCTAGAAAAACTTGTATTTGTCGTATAAAAGAAAAAGATGAGGATCACATTTGAACACAGTGACTAAATCTCTCCAACACTAAAGTGCCTTTCCTTTCATTGATCTTTATGAATGACGGTTTTACTGTCACAACAAGAGAAAAAAATGACAAATGATTCAACGCAACATGTGACAAAACACTTTAAGGAGGTACAAAACTCAACACATTAAATAATAAAACACTCAACGGAAATGAATAAATACGCATATAAATAAATAAGTTAGCTACGCTACACGATTGCCATACACAAAGTCGTATTCATATTCTGGATGTACATTTTTTGCATAAAGTCTAAAACACCTCAAAAGTAATATTGTGCAAAATCATAGCCATGTCCACAGTTTGACAGTTGTCATTGCAGAGACTATAGGTAGCGTCCATCCACGCCCTACTGAGGCCAGTTTCCTACCAGTGTGTCCTTAAGTGCATATGAAATGTCCCATCATCTATCGTTGAGTAGTTTCAAGATACATGTCTGTGGAGGACAAAAACATGAATGCAATTATAATTAGCTACAAAAACAACAAGGACATACTGTATATATTATTTTTAATTCAGTCTTGGTTTTGCAATCGGTTGATTCAAAAATTGTCCACAAACAATGGACAAAGTCAGTTTTTCCAATTCACATTGTTCTAAAAACTGAGTCGAGACCGTAGATTGGACATGTGATATGAAGTTTTGGTCAGAAATTGGTAATGTGATTCGGGGAAAGGGGAAATTGGGGTGATTTTTAAATATTTTGAGTCTTGCTTTGTGTCAATAATCTTCAGGTAATGTAGAGAGCTGCATTATTAAATATTTTCACCATGTAGTCTTTTCACATTTGAGTGCAGTTGCTCACCTGTTTCATCTCTTCATCACTGGTCTGAATGCAGTGACCTTGTCATCCTGACCCGTCCCACAGGTGTCACTAAGGTCTGATGACTGTGTCCCCGCTTTGCCACAAGACAGTCCTTTGAAAAGAGATTTTAAAGGAAAATCCTAAGAGATTTGGCTTAAAAGACCACAACAAAGCTGCTTTCTGATGCCTAGCTGTAGGAGTAATAAAAACTGTTGTTTGTTTAAGAACCAACATTTGGTGTATTTCTTAGTAGCATGGTAAATACCTTCAATACTGGAGTACTGACACGTGTTTGGAAGTGCAACGTAGGACGCACAGTGGAGTTGGAGGTCCTTGTGTCTGTAGCTACTAGTGCCGTAGACCTTAGAGTGCAAAGATGTGGCCTCGGTGAAGGGGCTGTCAATGTTGTTAACAGTGCTGGATTCATGGAGGCCTCTCATGCCCCCACATTGTCCCGGCGAAGCTCCGGAAAGTCTGGAACTCTGAATATGGCAGTCTGCGGCAGAACTGCCTGTCCGCAGGTCGGAGCCGTGCTGCTGAGGGCCCAGTATGACCCCTGAAGCTGCCGTATGAGCCAGGGACCAGATCCGCGGCTTGTCTGCGATTTCAAAGTGGGACAGAGACACCGTTCCTGCTGCCGTACCAGTTGAGGAAGGTGCCTTGGATGAAATGGGATCCAAAAAGTCAGATGGCAGAGACGGGAGAGTGGTGACACCTTTGATGGCACAGGGAAAGGTGTGGAAGCTGTTAGTTAAACTCAGGTGAAGGTCGGAGCTGCAGCCTCTCTTCTGAAGGTCCTGCTCATCTACTGCCACTTTTTCAGAGTCACTGTCCAGCTTGTCACAGTCGTCCCCGTCAATGTCTTCCAAATCGCTCAGATGCAGATCTTTCTCTTCCTTGCAATCCATAGAATCTGCATAATGAGAGTAAAAAACATGCTGAGGGGGATACATTTTCAGTTGTGTAGAAACTTACATTTTTATATAGAGATACAAGATTAAAACAAAAAACAAAAAAAAAAACTACCTTTGGAGACACAGTCTTGGTTGCCCTTCAGGTCATCAGTTCTCTCGTCACCAACCTTAGTCTTCGGAGACCAGGTCATTTTGTTCTCCTTCTTCAGCCTCCTCCTGGCGTTGGCGAACCAGGTGGACACTTGAGTGAGTGTCATTTTGGTGATGATAGCCAGCATGATCTTCTCCCCCTTGGTGGGGTAAGGGTTCTTGCGGTGCTCGTACAGCCATGTTTTCAGGGTGCTGGTGGTTTCCCGTGTTGCGTTCTTTCGTCTTGCTGTTCCATTAAAGTCTACTGTCCCGTATCTGGAAAAGAACACACACACACACACGCACAGACACACAGACAGACATTGGCCATTAGTGTCGTAAATGAAGGATATCAGACTACTCTCTCAGACAGTCTGACTCCCTGTTGTTTAAATATATATCCAGTTTCCCTCCATGCAACGTTCAGTATGGAGTTTCACTCTGATATGTGTTTTGCATGTGACATATTCCCCAAGTGAATAGCTGCACTTAATGACCAGCGAGAAAATAGCTTTGCCTGGTCGAACCCAGTTCACAGTGAACACAGCAGGAAAGACCTCACCTGTCATATTGATACTGTCCCAGTGAGTGGTCATAGGGGTAGTAGGCTGCAGTCTGAGTGATGCCAGAGTGTAAAGTGCCTGTGCTGTCCTTGATGTCATACTGAGGATTCTGTTTAAAAAAAAAAAAAAATACTCAGAAGCAGAAGTGATATAAATAATAATTTTTGAATACATCAATGTACATATTACAATTTTTTTATTGTTATGTTTTGATGGTCAGGAGTGATACGTTTATGTGGTTGTTGTTGTATTATATGCATCGTTTGTATTTTATTAAAAATAGTTCCAGGTGCACTACCAAGTAGTTTATCACTAATTGGTCAGTAAAAAAAATCAATACAGAATTCAAATGTGCATTAAAATAATTTTAAATAAATAAATCAAAGTTGATTACTCAGTAATATTAACATTTATTTTAATAAAGTAAATGAAAAAAAAACAAACTTTCTTTCCCACACTTCTCACCTCGCTGACGGCTTCTCCCTACTTTTAAGTTGCTTTTAAACAAGATAAGCAAGACACGACCACATGCTGGATTAACGGGATTACGGCTGTGGATGTGTTTGCACCGGTAGATACATTGATTGAACAAAACCTCGCTGATCGATCAGCCTGAGCCCCCCTCCCCACTTCCTGAGCACCAGATAAGGCTGAAGAAGTGTGCCCACCAGAGTGGAGTAGATGGAGGATGGCTCGGTGCTGTAGGAGAAGTAGTTGGCGTAGTTCTGGCTCGCTGCTGCCGCAGCTACGTAGGGGGAGCTGTACATCCCCAGAGCTGCGTTCAGCTCCGTCCGGCTGCTCGCCAGGAGCCGGTTCTCGTAGGACGGGCAGCAGAGGGAGGCGGCGGCTGCGGCGGCGGCAGCGGCGGTCTGGGAGCCGCCTGTCCCGTCAGACACCGACCTGGAAATCGAATCGCAGCAAGTCGTACTGGGGTTTGCCGACACGAAAAACTGCATGAAGAGAACCGTGGACAGACAGACAGGGTCACTGGCTGGTTCTGACTTTTATAGTTTGGATTACTGTGGCAGCTGTGAAGTGCTGCGCTGCACAAATATACATTTAGAAGTTGCGCGTTTTAATGCTGGGTAAAAAAAAACAGATTTTGTTTGTTGTAATAAACTTAATACAAGTGATTTCATCCTGAGTTGTGAACTGCCTTAATTCCAGGTAAGTCACCTTTTTGGATTAAGAGAGACGTAGAAGTGCCGCGTAATGTTGAGAAAAGTACAATTAGCGATCTCATGTCACCTTCCATTTTTTGTGTTTTAATAAGTGGTTATTTGACATTCCTCACCATTGTATTTTACACAGTTATAACGTCAGTATTAAGACAGAAAAAGCTGTGCGTAACCCGTGCGTAAAAGTGACTCTCTCCATCTTATCACCGACTATAAAAAAGTTTGAAACAAACCAGCATTACCGGCATGTCCTCTCAGTTTTTAATAAATCGATATACTACTGAATTTAAATAAAAAATGTTTTTCCAACATTTTTTTGACTCGGAGGATGAACGCTCCTTAAATCCAACTCAGTTTTTGCACTTTGCACCAAACAAAATAAACATGGCTGAAAATATGTTCAACCGAAAAAACAACAACTTTGAAACAGCTCCAACAGTGTTTTATGACCCAAAGAAGCAACGATTTGACTTTAAAAAAAAAA